CAACAAAAAAAAAAAGGAGGGGCCACGTGCCTGACTGAACTTTTCAACTGCATTTGAAACTCGGGCCCTGACTAAAAAATCTGCTAAAACGCAGTTTGAAATGCAATTACAAACTGTAACCCTGACTGCGTCGTAGTTTTCTCAAATTAAAATTATGAGAAATGATGATGTCTGCTAAAGTGTTGTATCTGCACTCAAACCCGCAAAACAGCTCCATACTACGTGCCAGGTCAGTACTGAGCTCTGCATCTCCCGCGGGGACATGGTGTGTTTGACGAAGGCATTTTCTCGCCAAAAATTCCTTTGAGAGAGATGGGATGTAGAGTTTAGCTAATAGTATACCTTCTTCCCCCGAATTCGATGTACGGTCAGTATATCTGCATTTGGGGTACCTGTCAATCCAGATGCAGCCATAATGACCGTATGTCGTATTCCGGGGAATCAGGTAGTATACAGGATAGGTAGTATACAGGATAGGCAGTATACAGGATGGATCGAAGCAGGTGCTCCCACTTCCCACTTAGACTGAGTACTAAGTGAGGAGAAGGTCTGTAGCATGAGTGCATGCTAGCCTGATCGAATGTGGTTCTTCCGCCAGATTAAACCTCGGACTACTTTATATATAGTCAAACAGAGCTGCCTGGTAAACCGTAGGCAGAGAGGAAGAGAGGGAGAAGAGGGGACAACAAACGAGGGAGGGGCTCTGACAAACTGTTTCGTCGGAGTTTCACCGACTAATATATATATTTTTGAATTCTGATTTCACATCTCATCGTGATTTGACCAGTTGAATCACATTCGGTCACATTAAAAAAGTGTGACCGGCTTGAGATATCATCTTCGAACAGAATCTGTTCGAACTGACCAGCCACACTGGCAGGTGACTTCACGCTAGTGTATTATTTGCTCTTGCGCAAGTTGTTGCATGACGTATTGCTGCGTCCTACTGCTTGCATTTACTCATTCCTGTGGCGCTGAGTTTACTTTGCGGACCATTATAATTCCTTGGCTTACTCTTACTCTGCTCTCTTTTTTTACAGATCCTTACTCTCAGATAATATATGCATTCGAAGCTTTTTTTTTGCACGACTTCTGTTCATGTGTGGTGGGTGGTTTGGGCATATGCCGCCAAATCGTCGAGTCCTAGACTGACCAGCGCTCCGAACCCGTTTGACTTTTACCACTCTGCGTTCTTTTCCCCCTTCAAACTCACTCGTTCCAAACTGGAGCAGGCGCTTCTCACCACACTCGCTCATTTGCTCATATTTCAAACTGGACCACGCCTGTAGGACGGGGCGTGGACAAACATTCAGCACGTTGAAGGCTGGTCACCAGAAAACTGGTTTCTTTCGGCTGGCCAGAGAGAGTCGTGACCAACGCCCAGAACAGTTGCCATCCCACACCGCCGGACATTCCACGGCCTTCTCCCAAGTACTCTAATCTAACCTTCGTGCGTTTCTGTTGGGATTTAGGCCGGCCCACAGCGGTCCACCAAATGTGAAGCCATCCGGTAAAGATTTTGCTAAGTGCTTAGGCACAAGGTGATGCAGCTAAGATGCAGCTTAGTCGTTCAGGCACAAGGTGATGCAGCTAAGATGAAGCTAAGTGGTTTAAGCACAAGGTGATGCAGCCAAGATTGAGCTAAGTGGTTTAGCCACAAGGTTATGCAGCTAGTTAGGCACAAGGAGATGCAGCTAAGTGGTTTAGGCACAAGGTGATGCAAGCCAAGATGCAGCTAAGTGGTTTAGCCACAAGGTTATGCAGCTAAGTGGTTTAGGGAACTTTAGGCACAAGGAGATGCAGCTAAGTGGTTTAGGCAAATGGTCCGGATTTTATAAAAGAGAAGGGAAAAACGAGCACACTTCGACAAGAGGGCGAAAGACCGCTCAGGCGGAACCGTGCAGTCAGAATGTTGCAGGCGGCACGGGCTACCCTCTTCCCTCGAATAGAACGCACGGTCATTATCCCTGTCACGCCGCATCTAGCTTGAAAGTTGCCCGAAATACAGCTACAATGACCCTGCGTTCTATTCAGAAGACGACAAATGGGGACAATAAGGGCCATATCCCACTGGCAAGGACGATCATTGGAATAAGTGTTTGAATCTGGACGTGTTCCATGCAGAGATGCAGAAAAGCAGATCTATCACAGTTTTCTGCACCTCTCCACAAACACGTACAGATTCAGACACTCATTCCAATCCTCTTTGCCAGTGGGATCTGGCCCTAAAACTAAGGCGATCAAGCCCGGAAAATGAACTACATGACCTTGCGTTCTATTTGGAAGAAGCCAACTACTGCTGCAGATTTTTTTTTTCTTTTTCTTTTCTCTTTTGTTCTTTTTCTTTTAGAGAATGGAAGGGGGGAGTGTGTGAGTTCTTAAAATGCATATTGTTTTTTTTACCACAGGAAAATCTCTTTTACTTTTAACCACATGAAAAAATAATTGGGAAAATAACGGCCTCGATCCATCACCCACAAAAATTGTACACAATGAGAACGAATCTTTCTGCCGATCACCGAAATAATTTTTTGCCTTCTGTGCATGTAGTGAGCGATGGAGCGAGGCCCCTGTCATCATGGATGTTTCCATTTTGGGCTTCGCTTACGAGAAAGACCGGTGAGGGTAGGGGGGGGGGGGGGGGAAACAGAGAGAGAGAGAGAAAAAAAAAAAAAAAAAAAAAAAAAGAGAGAGAGAGAGAGAGAGAGAGAGAGAGAGGGGGGGGGGGGGGGGGGGGGGGGGGGGTGAAAAAATCGGTGAGGAAAAGCAAAAATAAAAAAAAATAAAAAAAAATATAAAAAAAAATCGGTGAGGAAAAGCAAAAAAAAAAAAAGGGAAAAGGAAAGACAGGGTTCACTTACCCTTGGTACCCTTTGGGACAATGATTCCGCACTCAACGTCAAAAATCTTTTTGTCATACTTGTAGTAGCGCCCGTAAGTCATTTCCGGTTTGGGCAGGTTGTTCTGCCGTCAATGGACAACGAAAAACATCAATGGGCCAATGGGTAAGGAAGGGGGAGGGGGGGGGGGGAGAACAAGGGAGCTATTAGCAGAATGAATTTTTTTTTCTTTCTTTTTTAATCATGATATTAACTATTAAGCAATAATTTGGACTCTTGGGATCACCATCTTCAAATTGGACCATCCTCAAGACACCACACTCTCTTTCTTCTTTTTCTTCTTTTTTTTTTTTCACTCCTTTGATTTAGCTGTTTCGGTGTCAAACTTTCGGTCTGTATGCATGTCTCAGGGCGTACTCACACGAGGACTTTTCTAGATGTGTCTGACTGCAATTCCGGCGAGATCGAGATGAATCTGACTGCAATTGCGTCCACAACCGATAACTTTTCTAAATGCATCTGACTGCAATTCCGGCGACATCCAGATGAATCTGATTGCAATTGCGTCCACAACCGAGAACAAAAGGTCCTAGCGTGAGTATGCCCTCAGGACATATACTCACAGTAGCACTTTCCGGGGGCTAGGTCCCACTTACACGAACTCAGCGATATTGACCGTAGATAGCAAAGATCAACGGCCAGAATCTCTTAATCCGTGCAAGTGGTACCTTGCCCCCGGATGTACCCGACCACAATTGCGGCCCGTTCTGGACGTATCTACGTCCGGAAATCGGTTCAAGAAAGTCCCAATGTGAAAAAAAATAAAAATAAATAATAACAATAAATAATAATAAATAAATAAGAAAAAAAAGAAGAAAAAAAAAAGTCCCAATGTGAGTTTGGCCTCACTGTGCTTGGCACGGATACGAAAACGCAAATCATCGGCCCGAAATGTGCGTTGAGTCCACCCCCCCCTCCCCCAACCCACCCCACCCCACCCCCACCACCAAAGGAACAGAAGACTGTACGTACTCACATATATGACATTATTTATTGCCACGAAAAAGGCTCCCCCACCCCTGTTAGCACAAATTAAGAATGATATGCGACTTGATATAATGGCAGAGTGGGTCAAGTTTTAGAGCCATTCTTTCTCTCCTGATGCAGCTTCACCCCATTTCAGGAACAAATGGTCAGCCTCCTTTCAGTGGGCTGACCCGTCACCAGATAATAAATTATTCTACTCAGATGCCTTGTGGGATCATCCAGTGGCACTTATTATATGTTGAATCACTGCAAAAATGACAGCTTATAGATGCTGACAGGATCTACTACCGTAGTCAGGCGCGGATTCCACTACCTTCTTCCCCCGAATACAACGCACGGTCATTATAGCTGTATTTAGACCGAAAGACGGCAAAATACAGATATAATGACCGTGCGTTGTATCCGGGGGAAGAAGGTAGTCAGTCTCATAGGAACACTTACATAGCTTGCCTTATTCCAGTCTTTTTCTCCTATTTCCCACCCTACCTCATCTTCGGCTACTACCTTTGCTTCACTCGCTACGTTTCAAGCCAAGCCGAGTAATGATGCATCGCTGCACCAACTCTCCTAGAGAGAAGGTTAACCGACCCCCCCAATTTTCACCCTCATTTATAAGAAAACCAAAGGGTCATTTTAACCATACTTTACACCAATCTGTAGAGTGCACTTCTTACTAAAAGTGAGGGTACCTCTTAACCATTTGTGCTCTCCTATAGAACCCCAAAAGAAATTCGGAAAGCTGTCAGAAACCACAAAAGAATTGCACTCTCCACCGTCGGAGAGTGCCCAGCCTGCAAAATCCGTTACGGGGAGAGACCTTCGAAGGAACCACCGATTTGCTTTAAAAGTGGAGAGTGAACCTTGAGTCTGGGCAGACAAACGGGGACTTGGAGCTGTCGGCCATTTGCATCTTTTTTTTTTTTTTTTTTTTCCCTCACAGTTGGGGGGGGGGGGGCGTTTTTTTTTTTTTTTTTTTTTTTTTTTGGGGAGCTGTCGTTTTGTAACCCATGCTCTCCGGATTTCTTCATTCATCCCGGGCAGTGCAGAGTAGTGCAGCTAGACCCATGCTCTCGGTATTTCTTCATTCATCCCGGGCAGACTGTGAGGACCCCGCCCTCTTATATAAGGGGCGCTGGACACGGTTTCCAGCAGGTGCAGCTCCCCAACACACCAATGGAATCGAGTCATCCACAGATAAGACCTCGGTCTCCTCATAGGGCCAGATCCCACTGGCAAAGAGGATGGGAATATATGTCTGAATCTGGACGTCCTCCACGCAGAGATGCAGAAAAGCAGATCAATCACAATTTTTTGCACATCTTCACAAAAACGTCTGCATTCAGACACTCCAATCCTGTTTGCCAGTGGGATCTCGCCCATAGTTGCTCTTACCACCACGAGACCGCAGGTTTCCACCGGACGTTGAATTGGGACAAAAAAAAAGGGGAAATGTTTGAAATGCCCCTCCGACTTCCATTTATTTGCGGTATGCCCCTCCGACGGTAGACGTCAGGGGATTGACAGGGCAGAGGGCGCCAACCTACCGAACTGATCGTAAGTCATTGTCCCTGCATCTGGACTGAAAGTGGACTCAAATGCAACTACAGTGACCGTACTATAGCACGGTCATGCTTTTCTTCACAGGAGTATATATTGTCGGAGTATATATTGTCACAAGAGTATCAGAGCGCAAATGTGACAATATATACTCCGACGTACAGCGACGCGCTAATGCTAGCTCTCTGCTTATATTGTCGGAGTACATATTGTCACAAGAGTATCACAAGAGTATCAGCGCGCAAATGCGAACAAAAAGGAAAAAAGAAAGAAAAACAGGGAAATATGAAATCAGTTTTTTATCTTCTTCCTTTTAACTCCCCCTGTTCAGAACCTCTTGCGTATATATATCGTCACATAAATATCAGCGCGTCACATAAATATCAGAGCTTCACATAAATATCAGAGCGTCACATAAATATCAGAGCGCAAAAGCGAAAAAAACAAAAAAAAACAAAAAAGATATATATATATTGTCACACTATATATCGTCACAAACAGAACTGCCCGGTAAACCGTAGGCAGAGAGAGAGAAGAGGACAACAAACGAGGGGCTGTGACAAACTGTTTCGTCGGAGTTTCACCGACTCATCAGGAGGCTGAACCCTCGCCGCTGGCACTAGAGGCACAGCATGGCCGCCTAGTAACGGCCCCGACCACTGCCGCTCGACCTGACCGGAAAAAACCGTAGCAGGAAGCTAGCGAAGTCGTAGTATATATATATACATTATACATGTATGTATTAAATACAGAGAAGATTAGCATGGCCCCTGCACAAGATGACACGCATAAATCGGGAAATTGTCTAAATTATTATTAACCAAAAAAAAAAAAAACACCGCCTTGCTAACCTCTCCGTTCAGGCGGATCGGTGCGGTCAGGCGGATCGGCACCGTGGTAGCCGTCGTGCTACCGTCGTCGCCCGAACAGAATGCACCCTTTAA